CAGTCTCTGTTAAGTGGCTGTTAATTGTTTACTCACTCTGCAGCAGGAAATGGCACTTCAAAATAAAAGTTCTATGTTGGAAATTCACTGTACTTCTAAAGAAAGTGCGCTTTTTACAAACTTGTGGGTTTGCAAGTCACTTTTGGTCCATTCAAAATGGACCTGCAACCCACTTTTAGACTGCAGCCCACCATCTGGGAACCAGCGACTTGTTTTATTTTATTATTTAATAAACCATTGCTGAATTGTGTCTTATTTTAGAACCCTGACGGCATCATTTTACCAATTGATCTGGTCTCTCTGAAATCAGGGATGCACTCTGGAGATTACCAGCTCACTGAAATTGTCAGGTATGGTTTTTTCTTTTTTGTTTGTTTGTTTGTTTGTTTTTATTTCAGTTCCTTAAGGTTGAATAAATTTGTCCGTTTTAGTGATGAATTTCCGTGTCCTGCATGCATAGGTGATTCAACTGTATTACATTAATAAGAGTCTACAGGTGTGCTAGCATGGTGATGTTTAGCAGGTAGCCTTTCATGTTTACTTCACATCTTAGATTAGTGTGTAAGCATGCTAAGATTTATCTATTATCACTGAACATGAAATACAGCTTAGGTTGATGTCAGTAGTCTTGCAAGTGTAGTCAAGTGTTGGCGCTGCATATACACTACTATGAAGACTACATTGAAAGTATTGAGAATTTAGGTTTATGTATAAGACATAGGCTAATTACATGTGTGTGTTTGTTTGTGCGTGTGTGTGTGTGTGTGTGTGTGTGTAGTTTTGGACTGTGGAAAGTGGTGGCAAGGTTTCACAACAAACCACAGCTGACTTACTCTGCAGAATTTGAGGTTAAAGAATATGGTGAGTCATAGCAAAGGTCTTCTTTATCCCTTAATCTGTTATTAAAAACATATACAACTTGTCTTTACTTTCTGCCTGATTGGAGCCAATAAAATGCATATAATTTTTCAGTGCTGCCCAGTTTTGAGGTTAAACTGACGATTGACAACCCCTTCTTCTATGTGGACAGTGGACAACTAATTGTTGATATCAAAGCTACGTAAGTGAATATTTTCTTTTTGTGACTTTAGAGACAAGGTTTGATTTGTAGACTGATTAAGTAGAAAGGTTTGCTTTAAGTTTGGGGGGGGGGGGTTTCTTCTTGTTAAGCTGTCAGGGTAATTTTTTGTAGTTACACTTAACTGTAACCATTTTAGTACCATTTAGTACCATTTTAGTACCATTTCTGTTTTGGCTTATTATGAAATAAACAAACTGCTTATGAGTATTTGTGTTTTTAGGTATCTTTTTGGTGAAAACGTAGATGGGATGGCCTACGGGGTATTTGGGATTGTGCATGGGGGTCATAAAACGAGCTTGCCCAGCTCCCTTCAGAGAGTGCCGGTTAGTGCTCACACATTTGCTCTATCACCATCTGTCTATCAGTCATTTAATCTTTTCTGTGTTTATCTGTCGTCCTCATGCTCTTTATCTTTTGCAGCCATGCATTAAAACACATGAAAAAAGACAAGCACAGACCTCCACTGTCTTTACAGCTTGGCCTTTTATCAATGACACAAAATCTGCAAGTAAATTTAGTACCTAGCAACTGTCCACTTGCTGTATTTCAAGATGCATTTTCATTATATGTCACATTAGATCAAGGACGGTGAAGGAAAAGTCATACTGAAGAAAGAGTACATCACAAAGAGCTTCCCAAACATCTTCGACCTGGTGGGGAGTTCCATATATGTAGCTGCTGGTGTGCTGACAGAGAGTGGTAAGAAGCAGACTGTGTGTGTGTGTGTGTGTGTGTGTGTCCCCTTGCTACATAGTGAGGACCGAAGCACACCACCAACAGAGTAATGTCATTTCAGCCAGTCCTTGCTTCTTCAAATGCCTGTTTGAAGGTTAAGACTTGGTTCTGTGGTTATTGGTTTAGATTAAGGTAAGGGGCTAGAGAATGCATTATGTCAATGACGGTCCTCATAAAGAAAGAAGTACAAGGGTGTGTGTGTGCTATGCTAAAATGGCATTTATTTTCAGTACTTTTAGCACTACACTTTCATGTTCATTAGTGATGAATAAAAGTCAATACATACTTCCCTGCATTTACAGAGTGTGCATTTGACTATGCATTTTAAACCATTATGTTAATTAAGTGTATTTAAGTACACTTTTTCTGTGCTAACGTTAGAGTTTTAAACATGCACTTTATGCATACTTAAAATATATTACTGCATTTTTTTTACAGCTATTAGTCAATGTTTAATAAAGGATAAATGCTTGTTTAGTGAAATAACATACAGAAATACAGCTTGAAATGTAAAGAGTAAAGTAGAGAGAAGTTAGTTACAGAAAGTGTGATCTAAATAAAAATTAACTGAACTATTTATTTCAATTACATGGTTAGAAGTAAGCTAAACAAGACCGGAGGAAAGATAAGTAAAAATGCTTGTACTTAATAATTAGTGTTTGCATGCATCTTTGCATCTTCTTATGTACATGTTCATGATACTGTGTCTTCTTACAGGTAGTGAAATGGTGGAGGCAGAGTTGAGAGGTATCAAGATTGTCCAATCACCTTATACCATCTACTTCAAGAGAACGCCCAAATACTTCAAACCAGGGATGTCCTTTGATGTTGCGGTAAAGTGCACATATGAGTTTAGAATAACAGTAGGGTTCCTTCACAGTCCTCCACACAGGACTATATCAAATACATTTTTCATAACCAATAAAAGACCGGGCTTTCTTTTTATTGATGTGGTAGTCTTTCATGTGATATAAATCTCCTCTCGAATGTTGTTGAGTTTTAAAACTTTCTTTGTTTTTTTAACTTTCATTGTTTCACTTATTACCACCATGACTGCATCTGTCATGGATCTTGATTATGATATAAATGGCAATCTCTTCAAAGATATGAAACAGATGGGTTTTCTGAGAAAAACTAGAAAACCAGAAATCACTATTATGTCAGTCATAACATATTTGCAGAGAAAATTTAATCAGCAATGTCCTTTAGCCTATTGGTAAATTGCTTAAATGTCAGTACGGTTAAGGTCATATATCAGTCATATAAAAATATGACTTATATGACTGCTCTTTCATTACAGGTACTGCAGTTTGCAGATGATTATGGTATTTTCATAATAGTATTAGATCTTCCTTAAACGGGCACTGTGTAGGAATTTCTCCCATCTAGTGTTGAGATCGTATATTGCATTCAAACAGATAGCGCACTCTAGCGCCTCACTGTTTCAAACGCGTATTGCAACAACGGTAACTGCTGTGTACCAAAAAGCTATGATAACATTGATGAAACCATGTCATCTGATACTACATGGAGTATTCATTCAGGCTCCTACACAGACACACGTGACGCGAGTTGACAAACCCCCTCCTCACCATGCTGGCTGTGTTTACAATGTAGGACTGTTGGGGCGGGTGTAAATCGAAACAAACCAATCACGTCTTTTCTTTTGACAACTGACAAGTGGCTCAACCTCACACACCTCATCCCTCACCTCGCAACACTGCATTGCTAACAGCTGTTAGTGACCAGCGCCACTAACAGCACCAACAGCGCTAACAGTGGCTAACAGCTGTTAGCGGCACTGGTCGATAACAGCTGTTAACCACTGTTAGCTGTGATTCTCCTTCAGCAGCTCTCTCCACCTGGGAAAGGCTACCCTGATGTTGACCCTCGTTTTTTTAAATCGCCGGTCATGTTGCCTTTTTGCCTTTTTTCAAATGCACCGACACTTGTGACTAGCCTGCTTGCTGCTGCTGCTTTTCGTCACTCTACCTGCAGCCGGAAAATCGGAAACTGACAAGTGAAAACACGAAAGGCGATTCCGTATTTCTCAAGTATGTCCCTGTATGTACCTGTATTTTCAAGAAGGCGCACGTACATGATGAGACACTGGTCGCAATGTATATGTAAATGAGAATTTCGGAGCTTACGGAAATATTTAGATACGCTGATGGAGGTAAATACATGTGCTAGGAGGACACACTTTTGACTGCAAAATTTGTTTGTCTCAAAGAACAACTGAAATTGTTACACATAGTGCCTTTAAACTTGCTTTCATTAGTTTGCAAGTATTCTCTCTGTTTCTCTGATGGCAGGTTGAAGTTGTGAACCCTGACGGCTCACCAAAAGAAGGTGTTATAGTGGAGGTGAATCCGGGTGAGGTAGAGGGCCGCACTGCAGCCAATGGCATGGCAAGGCTTTCCATCAATACTGATGAAAATCCTGCAACACTGACAGTGACAGTAAGTGTTGAGAATTCTTCAGATTTTTATTTATGCATTGACATTTTCTCTTTTAGTACATTTATCAAATGTAGGTTATTAGTGAATATTGGACTGTCAACTGACCAGACACACAATCATCTCACCAGAGCAACATGTCAGGCAGTGTGAAGGGCCCCTAGCATTTTCATCCTCCAAAAGAGGCCAGATGGGCTTTCAGACATGGAAAAAAACTTAACACTTAATCCTATGGCTTCAGCACTATTGTCGGTTCATAAAAGGAGAAGCTCTGCAGCTTGGCTTGTGCTTGCCACACATTCACCCGTTTTGAGGCCCAGCCAATTGGTGTGCAGACATTCAAAGTCCCTTGGCAGCTACCTCCTCAGATGGCTGCTCCTAGCAAGCCAGTGATGCAGAATCCATAAAAACAGCAGCCCAAGAAATATATTCTATCTGCTGCAGGTCAGGGTAGGGTTGTGATGGTAAGGATTTTTTCTTACCTTGGTGAAAAAGCGACCTATCACCACATTCTGTGGAATGGCAGCCTTCAGTGGTGATAGTCTGTTTCTCATGATGTCTAACTAATCAGAAAGTGCTGTTGGACATTGAGTGAGGCTACAGAGTGGAGACTGTAGACAGAGGGACTGTTGTTATCAACAACTACTGATAACTAATTAGGGTCTTGAAGGGCTGTCACACTTCACAGAAGATTTCAAGCACTATCCCAACTATTTTCCAAGGGGCAAAGGGGCACTTGGAAACTAGTGGTAGGGGTAAAAATACAAAATGGGATTAGGCCATGGTTCTGAAGAAGCTTAATTCATGAGGTTGAGGAAAGAGGACTCATTTTCACTGTTACACAATTAAATGGATTCCTCTGCATATGAAACAATGTAGTACTATAAAAAGACTCAAGAACAACACTTCATTGTATTATGACAAGCTAATAATTTGTGGTTGTGTGTGTAGGCACAGTCAACCTAGGCTATGGTTAGCAATTTGTCATGTACACCACTTTATGTCACTGTGTGTATATGTTCATCTGTGTGTTCAACTGTAGGCCATGACCAAGGATCCTCAAATTTCATCTGAAAGACAAGCATCAGCCAACATGACAGCTATCCCATACAGCACTGCCAGCAACAATTACCTTCACATAGGTGGGGCATTCTACCGAATGTGTGCAAAGTTTGGCTGGAAATATTTTGAAATTTTGTATGTTTTATTTCCACAACTTTGTCCCTCTATATATTGTACCATATGTAAAGGTCACATATCTAGTAAAAGGACTGTAAATTTGTATATTGTATTTTCAGACTGTTTTGGAATGTTTTTCCTCTCCCAAAATTTGTCACTACCAAAACATATAGCATTATATTATACAAAAAAAATATATATCAACTTGTTATGCTTGTTCCTTCCCTTGTTTAAAGATTTAAATTTTTACAAATTTTGACTGAAGGTTTTCACAATTAAATCTATAAAAATTAATATTTTAACAAATTTCGAAGTTCAAATTATAGAATTCTTCAAAATCTAAATGCAATCTTTCTTTGTAAAATGCATAACGCTGATCAGATTGATTTCAGAGTTAATAACTAATGAAACAGAACATAAATGTAACCGATTAGCATCATAATACTTTAGTTGATAACTCAATATACTTTATTTTTTACAAAACATCCAGTGTTTCGGTAGTGACTGCACTGTTTCGGTAGTGACCATTATACTGTTTTTAAGGTTGCATCATATTTCCTCAAATGTATGCCTTATGGTGGTAATTACAAATTCAAAGACAAATGTTTTGTGGTCAATAAAACAATTTAATATTTGAGAGGGCAGAGCAGAGTAGAGCGGAGCAGAATAGAGCAGAGCATAGTAGAGTAGAGTGGAGAAGAGTATAGTGGAGCAGAGTATAGTAGAGTAGAGCAGAGTAGAGCAAAGTAGAGTAGAGTAGAGCAAAGTAGAGCAGAGTATAGTAGAGTAGAGCAGAGAAGAGCAAAGTAGAGTATAGTAGAGCAGAGTAGAGCAGAATATAGTGGAGTAGAGCAAAGTAGAGCAGAGTAGAACAGAGCAGAGCAGAATAGAGTAGAGAAGAATAGATTATAGAGTAGACCAGAGTAGAGTAGAGTAGAGCAGATTATAGAATAGAGCAGAGTATAGTATAGTAGAGTAGAGCAGAGCAGAGCAAAGCAGAGCAGAATAGAATAGAGTAGACCAGAGTAGAGCAGAGCAGAATAGAGCATAGTAGAGTAGAGCAGATTATAGAATAGAGCAGAGTATAGTAGAGTAGAGCAGAGCAGAGCAGAGCAGAATAGAGTAGACCAGAGTAGAGCAGAGCAGAATAGAGTAGAGCATAGTAGAGTAGAGTAGAGCAGATTATAGAATAGAGCAGAGTATAGTAGAGTAGAGCAGTTTAGTGCAAAGTAGAGCAGAGTAGAACAGAACAGAGCAGAGTAGAGCTGAGTATAGTATAGTAGAGCAGATTAATGCAAAGTAGAGCAGAGTAGAACAGAACAGAGTAGAGAAGAGAAGAGAAGAGAAGAGTAAAGCAGAGTAGAGTAGAGAAGAGGAGAGTATAGAGTAAAGCAGAGTAGAGTAGACCAGGGTAGAGTAGAGCAGAGTAGAGCAGAGCAGAGAAGAGCAAGACTTTGGACCACAAAATTATGGGGTTTAACTACTGACCATTCCATTTCTTCACTACCGAAATGATCATGTCACTACCGAAACTTTACCATAGGTTTCGGTAGTGACTGTTTCGGTAGTGACATTCCTAGCTATTTTTCAGGATAACTAAAGAATGCTAGCAGTCACATGGCTAACAAGCACATGTTTGAAGAGTTGTTCACACAGAAAAACATAATATTTAGCATAAACCCCCCAAATTTTTACATAATTGAAGAGAACATGTGTTCGGTAGTGACAACTTTAAAAGTTACACACTGATTTTCAGACTTTGGAAGACATTTATTTAAAAAATGATGGGAGTCAGTGACTTACCATTTAGCCATTTGGGACGGGGGTGCAGTACTACCTCTTTTCTCTTAAATTCAGGGGTGTGGCTAAAATCCAGACTCAATCAGAGCATTAAAACGCTTGTGTTTCGTTAGTGACATGAAAACAAAGGACACTATTTTTTTAGCATAGTTTCTTAATTTAAAAATTAATCCAACAATACATCTAAATCTTTCAACTTGTGTTTAAGCTTAATCACAAAGATGTTTTAAATTACACTTTTGAAAAAAATATGAAAAATGTTATAAGTGTTATTTACATGAACTGAATTTTAGAGGTCAGGGTTGGGGACAGCTACTTCCCAATAGAAAGTACCCTATAAATGGTGATTTTGTATGTATTTAGCTTATAACTTTTTCATTTAATGTCCTGGGTTTAAATAGGTCATAACATAATCTTTGTAAATATCTATGTCTGAATACTTAATTTTATTATTTTTGTTGTTTTTTTGGTAAGGGACAGCACTTTGCACAAAATTGGTAGAATGCCCCAGGTACAAACTGAAATAATCTCTGATAGTGATGGTTCTGGTAGTGGCAGTGCTGCCAAACTACCAAACAAGATTTTTTTAATATATATATCTCTAGCACTATTTTGTGGTATTGCTAATTGGAATGTTGTTACTGCAGGTGTGGATACAGCTGAAGTAACATTGGGAGAAAACCTGAAAATCATCCTCAACCTCAAAAGGCCAGTAAGTACAGAAAAAGACATCACAGCACTGGTGAGAGATGTTTTACACTGTGTGCGTTTGTGCATATGCTTGAGTGTTTGCGTTGCTACCTGCAACCTGCTGTTGGCTAAGTACTGATCTGTGTCCCTAGGTACTGAGCAGAGGTCAGCTGGTGAAACACTACCGTTACAAGACAAAAGGTCAAATGCTGATATCCATGATAGTCACCATTACCAAAAACATGCTGCCGTCATTTCGTATCATAGCCTACTACCATACAGATGTTAATGAATTGGTATCAGACTCTGTTTGGGTGGATGCAGAGGACTCCTGCATGGGCTCGGTAAGACACACCACACCAGTATAGCAGAGTTAAAGTAGGTGAACAATATAACCCTACACAAACAAATTAATAAAAATAACTGTATTTTTCACAAATACAAATATGCCTCCTCTCTCAGTTGAAACTGGAACCAGCAGAACCCCCGACGACGACAAAGTACTATATGCCTCGCAACATATTTGTCCTGAAGGTCACCGGAGATCCAGGAGCCACAGTTGGACTGGTGGCAGTTGACAAAGGCGTCTATGTCCTAAACAACAAGCACCGCCTCAACCAAAAAAAGGCAATTTCTTTATTTATTCTCACACATTTGGTGCAGCCAAGGATCAAACCGCAAACCCTAGGACAACACACTATCTTCCAAATATAACTTAACCCCAAGCCTTATCTGTCTCTATTTCTATATGTGTGATAACTTCCACCCTCCTCAGGTGTGGGAGATGGTAGAGACATATGACACAGGGTGTACACCAGGTGGAGGGAAGGATGGTATGAGTGTGTTTTACGATGCTGGGCTGTTGTTTGAGTCCAACACAGCTTCTGGGACTCCCCACAGAGAAGGTGATATTATGACACTCTCCACTCACATTCTTTTTTCTATTGTAAAAACCATAGCTGAGTTTGACTGCTTCAGCAACCTGTCAAAAAAGCAAATACTGCCCTGAACATGCTCTCCTTAGTGTACCAATACAATATCATTAATAAAATGTCCATTAGGGTTGTCACTTTTCCCAAAAATCAAGATCAAATGATTTTAAATGACACATCATTTATTCAAATTAATTTGAATGCCCCCCACTCCCCCACCCCTGAAAAAATAATGTTGTCAACAGTTCATTAACGTTACATTATCAGTTATTTTATGCATATGGTGTTCACATAATGCAATATGGACATATGTGTGGCTTCTTCTCAGCCCCTTAGTACACCAAACATAATTGTAAAGTTCCCATGAATCTGAAATACTGTGAGCTGTAACTAAGCATGTGTGGCCAGCAATGTCCATCTATCTGTGGTAAGAGCGACTATCGTATCCTTTAGTATAGTCTTTATGTTGTCTTTTGTTGTTTCATACAGTTGCACTATGTTTTTAAGAGTGTAATGTGACTTGGAATCATGGCTCCATATCCATCATAATCGGCTGCATATCCTTGCATGTATATCATGCTATTTTGGTGGTGATAGCATTTTTACAAGCTTCTGGCAAGATACTTGATGAAGTGTGTCAAATAGTAGGCGGTCTGACAAGGTTGTAAACTGGCCGTTGCTCTGCTCGTCTGTGGTGCCTTCGCTGTCTCGCTCGGGTGGCAAGTTAATGTTGCTGATGAGTCTGACAATTTGTTGTCCTTGTAGAGTACGATATGTAGCTGTTTTGTACAAAGTTGACAAACAGCTGTGTCTTTGTTAGTTACTTTTCCATCTACAATTTAGAACCCAAATTACTTCCACACAATGCTTCTTGAATGCTTTCATGCCTTGATTGTCCACTCAGGACAGCTTAACTTGCCACTGTCCTCCATTTTCATAGAAAACAACAACATTGGCCTCTTTGCTTAAGTTTCATTTGCTGGTAAGTCAATGGTAAGTCAAGAGGGCTTGCAGCAGTTCAAGCTGATAGTGAAATTTTAGATCGCCCTCTGCTGGATCACAATGCAGACTTCTTCAAATGGCCTGCTGGCTTATAAACAGTCTGCTGCACTTATAGACTGTAAACTAACAGTCTTTTTGCGCATATAGCTGTAGATTTTAAATTTAACCATGTCATCTATGGGGTGCCGTTTGTAAAGTGGCTCACACTGAAAATAACATCAACATTTTGCCACATTTAGCTTCAAACAATGTTTAAAAAAGTGTTAATTTTTTAACGTCACCTTTTACCACATTTACAGCAATATTTGTTAACTTAGAAATATATTAAATAGTTAAATCTAAATATTAAATGTGGCACCTAAATGTTATATGTTAAATCTAAATCTAAATCTAAATATTAAATCTAAATCTAAATGCGAAATATAAATCTAAACGTCAAATCTAAATATTAAATCTAAATCTAAATGTTAAATCTAAATGCTAAATATAAATATAAATGTTAAATCTAAATCTAAATGTTAAATCTAAATGCTAAATCTAAATCTAAATGCTAAATCTAAATCTAAATGTTAAATGTTAAATCTAAATGTTCTGGGTGAAACTAAATATTTAGCTAATATTCAAATTCACACTGCCGGTCACCGGAAGTACCAAAATAAAAGCTCAAGATGGTCAGACTGTGTTTATAGAATCAAATAACGAATTAAAACCAACTTATCGGGGGGAAATGGACACTTGAACATACATTAGCGTGATAATAACTACCTAAAATAACAAGAAACACAAAAAAGTAAAATTGCTTATATTTTGTTTTGGTTGTACTGCTTGCCTGCTCCGTTTTGAGCAGCAAAGCAGCAGGCAGCTGTTCTCACTGCAAGTGCTCTAAAATTCATTGTACACTTCCTGCCCAGCACCAAATGACAAAGCGAGTTGGTTAAGCAACTAAAGAGTCAGACATTTTCTCCAGGAGTTGGTACAGGTGCTAATATGGCAGAATTATGTTTACAGCTTTTTCCCCCTTGCTCTCAAATAGCCGAAATATCAGTTAATTTAGGTTTAGGGGTACAAATCCAGTAGATAACAGAGGGACTATGTTTGTATGGGTTAGTTCACCCAAACAAATCATTTTATCTTTTCCAATTTAGCAATGCAGACACTGTCTCCTGAACAACATGTTACTGTTTACTTTTTTTTAAAGGTGTTTTTAATGTCTGGGGCTCGGGGCTAAGGCATACCATATATGTCTGAGACATATCTCCAAACAATCCAGTTAATATGAAGGACAGTTGAAGATTCATTTCCTCACATCCTGTCCATATGTCCAATTGTTAAAATTACCTCACATTTTAAGAGTTTAGTGTAAGTTGTACAAAGCAGAAATCAAGTATAGGTCCCACTCTGTTGGGTTCTGTGAAATTTTTTTTCTGCCTTATAATTCCAGATTTGAATTGTCCGGCCCTCAGCAGGAGAAAACGAGCCACGACTATAATGGACGTAACAACTAGCTTGGGTAAGAAACACACTCTTAAATTCCCGAGTAACATCTCATGTCCCTCAGGTCAGGCTCTCCGTGATGTCTGTAGAAGGTCTTCTTGCGCTGCTGACTTTTTCACTACTCTACTTTGCCATACCATGTATTGGGGTTCTATAGGGACAGTGAGTGGAGCCCAGTGAATGACATGACATTGACCCAGCCATACTGATTTTCATTGGCTAAAAGTTAGTTGCTGTAGCCTGCCTACTTCTTTGTAACCTGGCAGCTGAAGTGAAATTGAGGGCCCCAGCCAACCCAGAAAGCATGGAAGTGAACTGGGTGGAGCCATGACCTTAACTTGCAAGGGTCAAAAGACAAGCACTAGACACACTGCACAACACATTTCCTGGGTCATTAAGGAGCACGAAAAGATGTAGGTGTATCATGTGCAGATTGGAGTCAAGCGCAACACAGCTTACATACACCCAACCCTCTTCGCTGTTGTTCTAGCGAGCCCGGACCCTGAAAAGGAGCCCAACATGTCTAAGAGATAGAATCATATGAACAGACCGGGCGTAGATCACAATGCTTTCATATGTCCTCAACACTCACTCAACAAAACATGGCTGCCAAGATTGCCACACTGCATATATAAACACAGAGGGAGGATCCCTACCTGACCGCCTGTAGGCTTGAGATATCCACCCACAACACCATATTGCAATGCGTTTCCTGAATATGGTCTTACCAGCGACTCCATCATCAAAGCAATGCATCTGATGAGAGGGGGCAAGACAAAAGCTGCCGGAGCTGGGCAAGCCGGGCCGTAAATTCCCAGGACACTGAAGTACTGGGCACAGAAGAGATATGTCATTATCTGCAGATGATGCTGTTGTCTCAGAGGGGATGACTGGAGGTGGTGGCATGTTGACAGTCAGAGCAGGTGTCTGCGTTATTGGCCTCAAGTTCTGCCTCACTCTAATGGTGGCGAAGCACACATCAAAACATTTGCAGTGATCCCACCATTGCTGGTGTGTAAACTTGGACTGCGCCTGACAGGCCTTGCATGCCGGTGGCTGCTGAGCACCACTCTCAGTACCAAATAGCTTAGGAGGTTATGTGGCGAGTTGCAACTCCATCTGTGAAGGAAGCTAATCAGTGGGCACTCACTGACACTGTAGACTGAATGGTTAATGGATGCTGTCATAGTAAATAGTAGTAAATCCTCAAGCGAGTAGTATGATTGACATTACAAGGGCACTATGTACAGCAGGCTTAGCTTGATACAAAATGACTGTTAACTGATTATCATCACAACCAAATGTAATTTCACTTTATCCTATCATCACTCTGTGATAAAAGTCTTGTAAAATTCTACAGTACATCTGTCCATATGAAAACTTTTAGCACTATCTTCTATGAATTTTTCATTGTTGTCACCATGGTTTGGCCAGATTCCCCAGATTTGGCTACTGTTATGAAGATCAGGCAGGTTTTAGCCTCTGATTGGGCTATTTTTGGTCAGTCCAATCTGGCAACACTGCTTGTACTCCATATCTTCTTTCTTCTGTCTCTCCCCCACAACCCCATTTCTTTCCAGCAAGTCAATATGAGGACCAACTGCAACGTGAATGTTGTTTGGATGGCATGAGGGAAACCCCCATTCCATACACTTGTGAGAGGCGCAGCGAGTACATCAATGATGGTACAGCCTGTGTTGAGGCTTTCCTGCGCTGCTGCAAGGAGATGGAAATCCAGCGAGCTGAGATGAAGGAGGATAGCCTGCGACTGGCTCGAAGTAAGAGACGGGGACAAGGGATCGGTTGAAGCCCTGGGGATCGGTTGAAGCCCTGGGTAGTTACTGGTGGTCATACAGAAACAGTAAAACAATCAGTATAATAACCTTTTTAATGACACCTTAGCTGAAGAGGAAGACAGTTACTTGGACAGCAATGAAATTGTTTCTCGCACCAACTTCCCTGAAAGTTGGCTGTGGTCAGATATCACGCTGCCCCCTTGCCCTGATAGTAAACCTAATTGGTGAGTCAACTGAAGCTTATACACTCACAAAATACTTGATAGCTTTAATTTCACCTCTAAAAGTATTATTCTTTGTTTCAGTGACACCACATCAGTGACAAAAAGTGTTCCTTTGCAAGACTCAATCACAACCTGGCAGTTCACTGGCATCAGTCTGTCAAGAACTCTCGGTGAGGATTCAATGAATTAAATGTCTTGTGTCTTAGTTGCGCTACAAACCTCAAAACCAAGAGCCCAAACTACATTCCATGGTTTCTCTATTTCCATTAGTCTGTTCCTCACCCAGCTACCCTTTCTGTCCTTGATTCATGCCTTGTTTTTTGTTGTTGTTGTTGTCATTGTTTTTTTGTCTGTTTTCTTGTTTGTTTGTTTTTAAGGTATTTGTGTGGCTGAACCATTGGAGATAATTGTCAGGAAGAACTTCTTCATTGATCTCAGATTGCCCTACTCTGCTGTTCGTGGAGAGCAGCTGGAAATTAAAGCAGTCATCCACAACTACAACCCCAATATTTCTACTGTAAGTCTGAATCATTCAAGTAAGCATACTAAAAAGAGGATGAATGAAACTGATGTATAGGCCTGTCTCACAAAACAATGTGACTTTTTTTAGTAGATTCGGTTAATTCTGCATTCTTCAGTCAGTACAGGGACTGGATCCCTAATCTGGCAAGAATAGTATTATTGTTACTGTAGGTAATGACAAAAAGTGTGTGACATCGTCGGAATCTGATCCACTCCGTGGAAAGTGTAGGTATATGTGTAACTGACATGGATGATTACTGTATGGGCCTACCATGCACAGGCCCAGGGGCCCAAAGTCAGGGGCCTTACTGAGGGGTATTCCAGGTAGAAGGTTCAACAAACTCTGAGTCTAATCCTGAACTCTGAGTTGACTTACCCTGAGCTGGGAAACTCTGAGTATCCGGTTCCAGAACAGCTGATTCTANAATAAAAATAACTGTATTTTTCACAAATACAAATATGCCTCCTCTCTCAGTTAAAACTGGAACCAGCAGAACGCAAGACAACCTATATGCCTCGCAAAATATTTAACCTGAAGGTCACCGGAGATCCAGGAGCCACAGTTGGACTGGTGGCAGTTGACAAAGGCGTCTATGTCCTAAACAACAAGCACCGCCTCAACCAAAAAAAGGCAATTTCTTTATTTATTCTTTATTTTTGAAAATTGTTTTTTTGTTGTTGTTTTTTCTCTTGCTGAGAAACACTTTGGCATGTGCACATTTGGTGCAGCCAAGGATCAAACCGCAAACCCTAGGACAACACACTATCTTCCAAATATAACTTAACCCCAAGCCTTATCTGTCTCTATTTCTATATGTGTGATAACTTCCACCCTCCTCAGGTGTGGGAGATGGTAGAGACATATGACACAGGGTGTACACCAGGTGGAGGGAAGGATGGTATGAGTGTGTTTTACGATGCTGGGCTGTTGTTTGAGTCCAACACAGCTTCTGGGACTCCCCACAGAGAAGGTGATACTATGACACTCTCCACTCACATTCTTTTTTCTATTGTAAAAACCATAGCTGAGTTTGACTGCTTCAGCAACCTGTCAAAAAAGCAAATACTGCCCTGAACATGCTCTCCTTAGTGTACCAATACAATATCATTAATAAAATGTCCATTAGGGTTGTCACTTTTCCCAAAAATCAAGATCAAATGATTTTAAATGACACATCATTTATTCAAATTAATTTGAATGCCCCCCACTCCCCCACCCCTGAAACAGTTCATTAAAGTTACATTATCAGTTATTCCATGCATATGGTGTTCACATAGTTCTGAACAGTGTCAGTGACTGGCAACAACTACAGCTGCTTCATGGGAGATGTCAAATTTATCCAGCATGCTGCCAATGCTTACTGCAATATGGACAGATGTGTGGCTTCTTCTCAGCCCCTTAGTACACCAAACATACTGTAACTGTAAAGTTCCCATGAATCTGAAATACTGTGAGCTGTAATTCATAAGCATGTGTGGCAAGCAATGTCCATCTGTCTGTCAAATAGTAGGCGGTCTGACAAGGTGGTAAACTGGCCGTTGCTCTGCTCGTCTGTGGTGCCTCCGCTGTCTCGCTCGGGTGGCAAGTTAATGTTGCTGATGAGTCTGCCAATTTGTTGTCCTTGTAGAGTAAGATACGTAGCTGTTTTGTACAAAGTCGACAAACAGCCGTATCTTTGTTAGTTACTTTTCCATCTACAATATAGAACCCAAATTACTTCCACACAATGCTTCTTGAATGCTTTCATGCCTTGATTGTCCACTCAGGACAGCTTAACTTGCCACTGTCCTCCATTTTCATAGAAAACAACAACATTGGCCTCTTTGCTTAAGTTTCATTTGCTGGTAAGTCAATGGTAAGTCAAGAGGGCTTGCAGCAGTTCAAGCTGATAGTGAAATTTTAGATCGCCCTCTGCTGGATCACAATGCAGACTTCTTCAAATGGCCTGCTGGCTTATAAACAGTCTGCTGCACTTATAGACTGTAAACTAACAGTCTTTTTGCGCATATAGCTGTAGATTTTAAATTTAACCATGTCATCTATGGGGTGCCGTTTGTAAAGTGGCTCACACTGAAAATAACATCAACATTTTGCCACATTTAGCTTCAAACAATGTTTAAAAAAGTGTTAATTTTTTAACGTCACCTTTTACCACATTTACAGCAATATTTGTTAACTTAGAAATATATTAAATAGTTAAATCTAAATATTAAATGTGGCACCTAAATGTTATATGTTAAATCTAAATCTAAATCTAAATATTAAATCTAAATCTAAATGCGAAATATAAATCTAAACGTCAAATCTAAATATTAAATCTAAATCTAAATGTTAAATCTAAATGCTAAATATAAATATAAATGTTAAATCTAAATCTAAATGTTAAATCTAAATGCTAAATCTGAATCTAAATGTTAAATGTTAAATCTAAATGTTCTGGGTGAAGCTAAATATTTAGCTAATATGCAAATTCACACTGCCGGTCACCGGAAGTACCAAAATAAAAGCTCAAGATGGTCAGACTGTGTTTATAGAATCAAATAACGAATTAAAACCAACTTATCGGGGGGAAATGGACACTTGAACATACATTAGCGTGATAATAACTACCTAAAATAACAAGAAACACAAAAAAGTAAAATTGCTTATATTTTGTTTTGGTTGTACTGCTTGCCTGCTCCGTTTTGAGCAGCAAAGCAGCAGGCAGCTGTTCTCACTGCAAGTGCTCTAAAATTCATTGTACACTTCCTGCCCAGCACCAAATGACAAAGCGAGTTGGTTAAGCAACTAAAGAGTCAGACATTTTCTCCAGGAGTTGGTACAGGTGCTAATATGGCAGAATTATGTTTACAGCTTTTTCCCCCTTGCTCTCAAATAGCCGAAATATCAGTTAATTTAGGTTTAGGGGTACAAATCCAGTAGATAACAGAGGGACTATGTTTGTATGGGTTAGTTCACCCAAACAAATCATTTTATCTTTTCCAATTTAGCAATGCAGACACTGTCTCCTGAACAACATGTTACTGTTTACTTTTTTTTAAAGGTGTTTTTAATGTCTGGGGCTCGGGGCTAAGGCATACCATATATGTCTGAGACATATCTCCAAACAATCCAGTTAATATGAAGGACAGTTGAAGATTCATTTCCTCACATCCTGTCCATATGTCCAATTGTTAAAATTACCTCACATTTTAAGAGTTTAGTGTAAGTTGTACAAAGCAGAAATCAAGTATAGGTCCCACTCTGTTGGGTTCTGTGAAATTTTTTTTCTGCCTTATAATTCCAGATTTGAATTGTCCGGCCCTCAGCAGGAGAAAACGAGCCACGACTATAATGGACGTAACAACTAGCTTGGGTAAGAAACACACTCTTAAATTCCCGAGTAACATCTCATGTCCCTCAGGTCAGGCTCTCCGTGATGTCTGTAGAAGGTCTTCTTGCGCTGCTGACTTTTTCACTACTCTACTTTGCCATACCATGTATTGGGGTTCTATAGGGACAGTGAGTGGAGCCCAGTGAATGACATGACATTGACCCAGCCATACTGATTTTCATTGGCTAAAAGTTAGTTGCTGTAGCCTGCCTACTTCTTTGTAACCTGGCAGCTGAAGTGAAATTGAGGGCCCCAGCCAACCCAGAAAGCATGGAAGTGAACTGGGTGGAGCCATGACCTTAACTTGCAAGGGTCAAAAGACAAGCACTAGACACACTGCACAACACATTTCCTGGGTCATTAAGGAGCACGAAAAGATGTAGGTGTATCATGTGCAGATTGGAGTCAAGCGCAACACAGCTTACATACACCCAACCCTCTTCGCTGTTGTTCTAGCGAGCCCGGACCCTGAAAAGGAGCCCAACATGTCTAAGAGATAGAATCATATGAACAGACCGGGCGTAGATCACAATGCTTTCATATGTCCTCAACACTCACTCAACAAAACATGGCTGCCAAGATTGCCACACTGCATATATAAACACAGAGGGAGGATCCCTACCTGACCGCCTGTAGGCTTGAGATATCCACCCACAACACCATATTGCAATGCGTTTCCTGAATATGGTCTTACCAGCGACTCCATCATCAAAGCAATGCATCTGATGAGAGGGGGCAAGACAAAAGCTGCCGGAGCTGGGCAAGCCGGGCCGTAAATTCCCAGGACACTGAAGTACTGGGCACAGAAGAGATATGTCATTATCTGCAGATGATGCTGTTGTCTCAGAGGGGATGACTGGAGGTGGTGGCATGTTGACAGTCAGAGCAGGTGTCTGCGTTATTGGCCTCAAGTTCTGCCTCACTCTAATGGTGGCGAAGCACACATCAAAACATTTGCAGTGATCCCACCATTGCTGGTGTGTAAACTTGGACTGCGCCTGACAGGCCTTGCATGCCGGTGGCTGCTGAGCACCACTCTCAGTACCAAATAGCTTAGGAGGTTATGTGGCGAGTTGCAACTCCATCTGTGAAGGAAGCTAATCAGTGGGCACTCACTGACACTGTAGACTGAATGGTTAATGGATGCTGTCATAGTAAATAGTAGTAAATCCTCAAGCGAGTAGTATGATTGACATTACAAGGGCACTATGTACAGCAGGCTTAGCTTGATACAAAATGACTGTTAACTGATTATCATCACAACCAAATGTAATTTCACTTTATCCTATCATCACTCTGTGATAAAAGTCTTGTAAAATTCTACAGTACATCTGTCCATATGAAAACTTTTAGCACTATCTTCTATGAATTTTTCATTGTTGTCACCATGGTTTGGCCAGATTCCCCAGATTTGGCTACTGTTATGAAGATCAGGCAGGTTTTAGCCTCTGATTGGGCTATTTTTGGTCAGTCCAATCTGGCAACACTGCTTGTACTCCATATCTTCTTTCTTCTGTCTCTCCCCCACAACCCCATTTCTTTCCAGCAAGTCAATATGAGGACCAACTGCAACGTGAATGTTGTTTGGATGGCATGAGGGAAACCCCCATTCCATACACTTGTGAGAGGCGCAGCGAGTACATCAATGATGGTACAGCCTGTGTTGAGGCTTTCCTGCGCTGCTGCAAGGAGATGGAAATCCAGCGAGCTGAGATGAAGGAGGATAGCCTGCGACTGGCTCGAAGTAAGAGACGGGGACAAGGGATCGGTTGAAGCCCTGGGGATCGGTTGAAGCCCTGGGTAGTTACTGGTGGTCATACAGAAACAGTAAAACAATCAGTATAATAACCTTTTTAATGACACCTTAGCTGAAGAGGAAGACAGTTACTTGGACAGCAATGAAATTGTTTCTCGCACCAACTTCCCTGAAAGTTGGCTGTGGTCAGATATCACGCTGCCCCCTTGCCCTGATAGTAAACCTAATTGGTGAGTCAACTGAAGCTTATACACTCACAAAATACTTGATAGCTTTAATTTCACCTCTAAAAGTATTATTCTTTGTTTCAGTGACACCACATCAGTGACAAAAAGTGTTCCTTTGCAAGACTCAATCACAACCTGGCAGTTCACTGGCATCAGTCTGTCAAGAACTCTCGGTGAGGATTCAATGAATTAAATGTCTTGTGTCTTAGTTGCGCTACAAACCTCAAAACCAAGAGCCCAAACTACATTCCATGGTTTCTCTATTTCCATTAGTCTGTTCCTCACCCAGCTACCCTTTCTGTCCTTGATTCATGCCTTGTTTTTTGTTGTTGTTGTTGTCATTGTTTTTTTGTCTGTTTTCTTGTTTGTTTGTTTTTAAGGTATTTGTGTGGCTGAACCATTGGAGATAATTGTCAGGAAGAACTTCTTCATTGATCTCAGATTGCCCTACTCTGCTGTTCGTGGAGAGCAGCTGGAAATTAAAGCAGTCATCCACAACTACAACCCCAATATTTCTACTGTAAGTCTGAATCATTCAAGTAAGCATACTAAAAAGAGGATGAATGAAACTGATGTATAGGCCTGTCTCACAAAACAATGTGACTTTTTTTAGTAGATTCGGTTAATTCTGCATTCTTCAGTCAGTACAGGGACTGGATCCCTAATCTGGCAAGAATAGTATTATTGTTACTGTAGGTAATGACAAAAAGTGTGTGACATCGTCGGAATCTGATCCACTCCGTGGAAAGTGTAGGTATATGTGTAACTGACATGGATGATTACTGTATGGGCCTACCATGCACAGGCCCAGGGGCCCAAAGTCAGGGGCCTTACTGAGGGGTATTCCAGGTAGAAGGTTCAACAAACTCTGAGTCTAATCCTGAACTCTGAGTTGACTTACCCTGAGCTGGGAAACTCTGAGTATCCGGTTCCAGAACAGCTGATTCTAATTAGTTCAGTCAACTCTGAGTAGGTACACCTTGGGTACGTCCCAAGTCTCTTATTTTATACTGCTAACTCCTAACTCCTTACTTGAACCGGAAGTCATTCGAGGTCCGCCATCTCTAAGGCAGTCTCATGTCTCTTATTCCTGCCAGTAAGGAGTTAGCGTTAGGAGTTAGGAGGGATCTGTTAGGTGCGATGTGTAAGGTAACACAAGAGGTTCCTAACAGAAAGTCTTTTCCAGCTTGAGGCCTTGACATATAAATACCCGCCCTCTATGTCTGGCTCATTTGAACGAGATGGCGGAGAAACAGCGCAAGTGTACCCGTTACATGCATTCTTTGCATTAAAAACACAAAGGGCTCTAGTTTCCCGGCGCAGCGCAGGGTGGCGCAGGGTGGTGAACCCCGCGCAGAGCTAGTTTCGAGCAGCGCAACCTGAGGCACACTCAGTTTGGTAGTTTGGCAGACCGAAGTGCGCTGAGATGGGTGTGGCGGCGCAGCAGGGGGAGGTGTCGACAGATCCAGCTTGGCGCAGTGACAGTTTCATGCCAAAAGGCTTTGCCGAAGGTGTGCTAAAAGCTCGCCAGCTGAAACCAAGTTTCCAGAATGTCAGGCACATTAACGATGCAATAAATACCCCAAAAACCACTATGCAATGCAACTATCTGCAATCAGCACATAAATGTATCTCTATATCGACTGTCCCGTCACATCTGATGTCAGATCAAAGGGGATTGGCACCGTTTGGCACGTTTGGCACATTTGGCACGCGTAATGGAAACCCAACCTGATTTGATTAACACAGATGCAAACTAATGAGTTCACATCCCTCTCAGCCAACCACAAACAGCCACAGCATCAGACAGGGAGTATACATTCAGCATCTGTCATCTTAGAAAAGTCAAAAGAAAAGAAACAGAGTGAGCACAATCACACAAACACATTTGCCCATCATTAATTGTCCTGCACGTCATGTGAGTGGAATAATGTTTAATAGTCTGTAGGTAATATTAATTATTAATATTCATATTCATATTATTACTTTCATTAATGTTGTTGTAAGATACTGTCATTACCATCTGTCCTGCATCTCTCTCTGTCTCTCTCTCCGTCTCTCTTTCTGTCTCATTGTGTCATATGGATTACTGTTAATTTATTATGCTGATCTGTTCTGTACGACATCTATTGCGCGTCTGTCCGTCCTGGAAGAGGGATCCCTCTTCAGTTGCTCTTCCTGAGGGTTTCTCTTTCTCTTTCCGTTTTTTCCCCGTTAAAGGGTTTTTTTGAGGAGTTTTCCTGATCCGCTGTGAGGGTCCTAAGGACAGAGGGATGTTGTATGCTGTAAAGCCCTGTGAGGCAAACTGTGATTTGTGATATTGGGCTTTATAAATAAAATTGAATTGACTGAGGTAGACTGACAGGTCTGATATGTCTTATTCACTCAGCAGCTGACTTGTTGAATGATGGAGTGGATTTAATAATAGTGATAATAATGATGATGATAATAATGATAATGTGGGAGGGACTAAACAGTTAGCTAAGGTGGCTAGGTTGGTTAGCAGTAATTTTAAGGGACTTGGGACGTAGCCCTTGAGTTAAGCACGTGCACAACCACAATAAAAAGCCATCATCAATGGAGCCTCGATACCTCAATTCACCATGTCAACCATAAAGAAAAAGCAATCAACTTATTTTACACCTGTGGAACTGGAGGTGCTCATGAATGCCTACAGCGAATATGAGCATATATTTCGTAAAAAAAGTAACAGCGCTAAAGCTGCCAAGGAGAGAGAGGCGGCATGTGAAATTTAGCAAGCAGAATCTCCTTCAAAGGGATGTTGGTGGCTTAGTGGACAGAGCAGGTGTCCCATATGGCTTTTGCCGCAGCGGCCCGGGTTCGACTCTGGTGCTCTGCTGCATGTCACTCCCTCTGTCTCACTCCCAAAATGCATTACATTCAAATTACTTCAAAGAGACTCAAAATAACAACAAAAAGGGGCAAAACAACCATAATGAGATCTATAACAGCCAAAGAAAGACACATCATTACTTTAAAGAGACATGAAATAACTACAAAAGGGGATTATGAACACAAGTAGTTTTCTAGGAACTGGTTTAATGAAGCCATCCAATCTCCATCACACCGTGAATAACAAATAACACAATTGACACAATTAGATATAAAATAATAAAATAAAGTAATTTAGACCAGACAAAATGTAGGCTACACACATGTAGCTAGCAATACAATTTTAACTATGAATTAACTGTTTATATGAACCAATCATGGAATCAATTATGCATTAATGAAATATATCAATGAACTGTATGCACCATCATGGATACATTTACAGGGATAAACAACCATAGAGACACAAAATGGCCAAAGAAATGCACAACCTTGTTTCAAAGAGACACAAAATAATTACAAAAGGGCCAAAACAACCAAAGACACAAAATGATCAAAGAAAGACACAACAATACTTCAAAGAGACACAAAATAACTACAAAGAGGGGAAACAACCAAAGAAAGACACAAAATCTCATCAAAGAGTCATCAAATACTACAAAAAGAGGCAAAACAACCACAAAGACACACAAAATATCCTAAGAAGCACAAAGTGACCAAAAAGGACACCAAATTACCCCAGAGAGACACAATACCACAAAAAGATGCACAGAAAATACAAAGAGATACAATTTTTCATGTCCGTGCCCAGGAGCCCATCGTCTCATAATCCGCCCATGGTAGCTGACCATCTTTTATCAGCTACTTTTACAGTACCTCCCCTTCTGTGTCTCTGTTTTATTTTCAAGGTACGTGTGGATCTGATTGAGGAGACACATGTGTGCAGTGCTGCTTCTAAGCGTGGGAAATATCGCAAGGAGGTTGAAGTTGGGGCCAAAACTACGCGGTCTGTACCCTTCATTGTTATTCCCACAAGGGAAGGACAATACCGCATTGAGGTTAAAGCAGCTGTGAAAGACGAAGATATCAGTGATGGAATTGTGAAGACTCTGCAGGTGGTGGTAAGAGAAACACTCTTTGTACGAGGTTAAGAGCATTTTTTCTGTTGTCCACAACTACATAATAATGTCGTCTTATCTGTAAATAAGGTCTGTTGCAAAGCAAGATGGCGCCGGTGTGTATGGCTGGCCGTCTGCTGCTCCCACTTTGGCTGGCATTTTTGTTGTTTGTAATCCTTGGCACTGTACAGATCGAGTCTCTGCTGGTGTATGATCGCCAATCCCTCTTAGATCTGAGACATAATGTCAGAGATCTAAGTATATTTGATCACGGTGGACAGAAAACTCCCGCTCCTGTCAGAAATCCCGACTCACCTTTACCGGGCCTGGGCTCTACCCCCCCGGTGGAAGCGTCTCCGTCGCCGCGGTAAACACGGCGATCGGCTGGTGAAGCTGAAGGTCTGCCTGGAACGATCTTCGTACATTTCCCGGGCAGGACATGGATTATCCTTTCCCTTCGCTGTGCCCCAGCGTTTCCTAGACCCGATCGACGCCTGCCTGGTACCTGCCGCCGGTCTGGTTGAGGGATTCCGGCCCCGCCACCCCTGCTCTCCCCGTTTCTCTTGGCGCGGGGTGAATTTCCGGAACCTGAAGACACTGCTCCGGGCTCCCCGATCCGCCGAAACACAGGCCCCGGCTCCTGCCAGGATTGGGCTGGTAAATGCCAGATCACTGGCAAACAAAACTTTTATCCAGAGGGATTTCTTCAGCTCCCGTGGCCTGGATTTTCTCTATGTGACAGAGACCTTGATCGGTGCTGGTGCAGTGCGCTGTGTCATCTTCTTTCTCCAGCTTAGAAGCGACTTTATTTGAGGTGTGTCGCTCTGACCCGGTGATGTGCGCTGTCATCTACCGGCCCCCCAAGTACAATCGTAAAGTAAAACTAGCTTTTTAAGCTAATTCGAGTGCATTTACATGTGTTTTTTGTATACAATGTTTATTAATGTGCATTGTCCCTTTCAAATAAACTAGAAAAGAAAGAAAGAAAGAAAGAAAGAAAGAAAGAAAGGACTTTGTGAAAGACTTTTCAGATTTTCTGGCTGAAATCATGCCAAACTACGATCGTGTCCTTTTTCTTGGGGATTTTAATATTCATGTGTGCTGTCCTGATAAGCCGTTGGTGAAGGACTTTTTAAGCCTTATTGACTCTTTTAATTTAGTGCAGTGTGTGTCTGGTCACACGAACATGATCATACATTAGATCTCGTTCTTTCTCATGGTTTCTCTGTGTTTAACTTGAAAATCTGTGAAAATGTCAATTCTGACCATATGCCCGTATTGTTTGAAGTTGGTTTTTCTTGTACTGCAGTTAAATCTTGCGCTCCTGCTCAGCGCTGTCGGACTTTTAACCCTTCCACTGCTGGTCAGTTCTGTGCTGCTTTCGATCAGCTCTGTGCCTCCTCTGACTCAGTGTCTGCTGACATGGAGGAGCTCAGCTCCTGGTTCCACTCCTCATGCCGAACCATTCTGGACTCTGTGGCTCCATTAAAAACAAGGCAGCCTAAAGTGAAACCCGAGCCCTGGTTCAGTGACAGGACTCGTGCAGTTCGACGGGAGTGCCGCAAAGCTGAACGCAGGTGGAAGAAGGACAAGCTCCATGTTTCATTCCAAATCTTAAAGGACTGTTGGCACCATTATCAGAACACTATTAAGGAAGTCAAAAGAGAATACTTGTCAAACCTCATTGTGTCAAATAGCCATAACCCTCGTGTGTTATTCAAAACTATTGACTCTGTTTTAAATGCCCTGCAGTCTGTCTGCTTGGAAGCATCCCCTGAGCTATGCAATAACTTCCTGCACTTTTTCATAGACAAGGTTGTTAACACAAGGGCTCTCATTTCAGCGCCTGCCTCTTACCCCTCTTTCTCTGTCCCTTGCCAGGCTGTGTTTGATAAATTTGAGCTTGTGACCTTGTCACTTTTAGATGTTGTGGTTGGCCATATCAAGCCATCAGGTTCCCCTTGTGATGCTGTCCCTCCTCACTTTTTTAAAGAAATCTTCCCTAGTATAGGGCAGCTGGTCCTTGCTATCATTAACAGCAGTCTGTCTTCTTGTGTTGTCCCCATAAGCTTTAAACATGCAGTAGTGCAGCCCCTGCTGAAGAAACCTGGCCTCGACCACACTGTATTGCCTAATTTCAGGCCCATCTCTAAGCTGCCTTTCATTTCGAAAATCTTGGAGGAAACTGTTCATGCACAGTTAAAATCTTTTCTGGATGAGCATAATATCCTGGAGATCTTTCAGTCTGGTTTTAAAACCCTGCATAGCACAGAGTCAGCTCTACTAAGGGTTTCTAATGACATCCTCCTGGCAAATGATTCTGGTGATTATGTAATTCTTGTCTTGTTGGACCTAACAGCTGCCTTCGACACTGTGGACCACAATATTTTAGTATCCCGGTTGCAGCACCATGTGGGCATCTGTGGTAGTGCTCTGGAGTGGTTTAGATCCTATCTGGCAGACAGAACTATGTGTGTAAGCTTTGCTGGTTCTGAGTCCTACTCTGTTCCTCTGTCATATGGGGTTCCACAGGGCTCAATTTTAGGGCCCCTGCTTTTTTCATTGTATTTGCTTCCTCTGGGTTCCATTCTTAGAAAGCATGGCATCTCCTTCCATTGTTATGCTGATGATAGTCAGATTTATGTGCCGCTGAAGAAGAGAGATGCTTTCTCCCTACAACCGCTTCTGTCATGTCTTGATGACATCAAAGACTGGATGGCCTTAAACTTTTTAAATTTCAATGAAAAGAAAACAGAGGTGATGGTGTTTGGTCCAAATAGCTCTTGTGAACCCCCCCCCCCTGTTGATTTGGGCCCCTTGGCACTATATGTGAAGCCAACAGTTTCTAACTTGGGTTTTAAGATGGACAGTGGTTTTAAATTGGAGCGTCAAATTGGTGCAGTGGTTAAGTCCAGCTTATTTCACCTTAGGCAGCTGGCAAAGGTTAAGCCTTTTCTTGCACAACAGCACTTTGAAATAGTAATCCATGCCTTCATCATGTCCCGGCTGGATTACTGTAACACACTTTATTTGGAGTCAGACAGTCTTCCTTCGCACATCTCCAGTTGATTCAGAATGCCACTGCTCAGCTACTAACTGGAGCACGTAAGAGGGAACACATTACGCCCATTCTGGCCTCCCTCTACCGGCTGCCCGTGCACTTTAGAATTCATTTTAAGATTCTTTTATTTGTTTTTAAATCTTTAAATGGTCTTGCCTCGCCTTACCTCTCTGAGCTGCTTCATCCCTACGCTCCTGCTCGGTGCCACAGGTCAGCTGATCAGCTGCTCCTGGATGTACCAAGGTCTAAGCGGAAGCTCAGAGGGGATAGAGCCTTTTCTGTGGCGGCCCCCAGATTGTGGAATGATTTACCTGTCCACATTAGACTGGCCCCCTCACTGTCTGTTTTTAAAACCAGTCTTAAAACCCATTTTTACTCCTTGTCTTTTTATTGTTTGTCTTGTGTTTTTATTTTTGTACAGCACTTTGTTTCAGCTGTGGTTGTTTTTAAAGTGCTCTATAAATAAAGTTGAGTTGAGTTGAGTTGAGTAAATGAAATGTTGGCAGCCATCTGAGGAGAGCAGGACAGATATGTTGAGAAATTTGCAACCTTTGAGAAGGGTCACATCAAAGCACAGTGCCATTATGCACAACTTCCCACTGTGTTTACTTTATTTAAAATCATTAGAATGTTTTTGATAGAACCTTAACATGAGTTACATATTGTTGTGCTGAAATGTATCCATTTCACCCACACCCTTCCTCTCCTGACTTAAAGCTAATGAATGAGGTGCGGGTGGAGCCGAACTGTCCTGTACAGCTCTGTATCTCTCCATATTATCTCAGCTGCACCCAAATTTGAGCAGTGTCAAATCCGGACGATATGATCCGATACCTCCTGTAAATATACTTAATGCCTTATTATACAGTCATGGAGGTTAACAAACATGCTGCAGGGTACTCTGAAGTGCTAGTCATGTTTTTACAATTGATTATGAGTTTAGCTGTAACGCTTTGGATTTTAACGAACACACCCCCACCTGCCCTGGAAGACATTTTCACCTCCAGCCGCCTCCAGAAATCAACAAACATCTTGAAGGATTCATGTCACCCTGCCCACCGTTTGTTTGACCTTCTGCCCTCAGGCAGATGCTATCTGACAATTAAAACATGCACAAAGATATTACCCCAAAGCCATTACTTCACTGAACATTATTATTTCATATTTATACTTATATCGTGTGCAATATCTTTATTCATTTATTTGCTGTATGTGCAGTAAATTTAACTTATTCATGTTCAAACATATTTTGGCACTGTTTGTGTGTGTGTGTGTGTGTGTGTGTGTTTAGTGTATGAATGAATGATATCTTATCCCCTCCCGTATTATTTATTTATTACTTTTATAATGAGTTCTGTTTTATTATGTGCATTGAATTTCATTGTATTTATTTACAGTGACAGTAAAAGGAACTGAATTGAATTGAACTGAAGAGCTATAATCAGATCCAATCATAAGATCCCAAAGAATTCCCACTTCTTACTCTGTTATACACAAGTTTAAAAAGTATACTTGAAAAAATAGTGAAGTTGTGATTTCTGATTTTTGTCCTGTTGTTTTTTCAGCCCGAAGGATTATTGGTAAAATCTCCCCAGATTCTAACTCTGGATCCTGTGAAAAAAGGTGCAGGTGAGTTTACAAGCTAACAATATGTAAAAATACATAATAATTTAATAACATATTTTGTAACATTTTAATTTACTGGCCATGAATTACATAGTTATATTACCAGAAATTGTAAAACAGCAATTCATTATTAAAGCTGCTACAAGGCACTTTTAACTGGATATGCAAAAGTCTCTCGTTTCTGCTGATGTCTGTGCGTGACCTACAACAGCAAATGAGACCATCGGTGTGAAGATAAGCTATTTCTATATAGTGTATATCCATGCCTTTAGGAAACTGTGTACGGGTCCGCCCCAGGTCGCTTCCAGGACGAAGCAATTTACGGCACTCAGATGGCACACGTCATCTTACCTAGCTGCTTACATTTATAGACACTCTTATATAGTCATTATTCCTCCTCCTCGACCCAATGTCTGCGGGGAGT